TTTCTTTAAGAATGACAGTCAGGGCAAGTACCTAGAATCATATACTTCTGGTTTATAATGGTGATATTTTAGTATTTGCTGACACTTGCTAAGGGAAAGTGTTATATTCCATGCACTATACCATCAAATAATGAAAATACTCCTTGTAAGGAGTATCTTCCATTTTAAAAAAAGTTTTATATAAATCAGGGGCTGAGTTTGTAGGTTTTGCATGTAGGCATGCAAGCACCTAAAGATATTTCATACAAAAATGTTCAATTAAAATGCAGTGTAACAAAGTAGTTTTAGCAGCTACTGTCCTTTCAGTCATCATTTCCACTTATTTCTAGTTTTGCAATGGAGAAATGTGTGTTAAAATCTTGTTTCTGATATGAGACTGTTGATAGGTCTCTGTAAGAGCAAGCAGCAGTTAACAGGCGAGAGAGTGATCTGAACAAGTGAAAGCCCTGTGGGTTTGTACATTCCCTTCAACCTGTTTGCAGAACTCTTCTGTTGTACATCTCGCTTGGAAGCAGCACTGTGCTGCTCGCCTCGTGCTCAGAGCTGTGCACAAGCGTTGTTGTAACTCCTCTCTCAGCCTGGGGCTGTTCCTTCTTTAGGTCTGGGCGGTTCACTTTGCCCAAGGCGCACATCCTCTGTCAGTCGCTAAATTGGAACCAGAGCTGCCGAACATGCTGGTCAGCTGTGCTTAGCTGTGATGGAGCACTGAGGCAGCTTCATCATTTGGTTCAGCACTTTATTGTCAACTGTATTAATTCCTCTTAACATTGTATTTTCATTAGGAGACGCCAGAAGATAGAGCCTTCATTACCTTTCTCATGAATTGTAACTTCTAAATATTCTTGTTTAGGACTTTTTTATTCCCCAGCTGATTGGAAAAGACCTGTTTGAGATCTGGGAAGTTGTAAATCCTATGGGCTTACTAGTGGAAGAACTGACCAAGAGGAATATCCCTTCTCCAGAACCAAGAATTACCAGGCAGTTGGGCATCAGCACGGTTCTGCCACTGTACTTTGTTGGGTTGTACTGGTTAGTGCAATATTAATTTAAAGTGAAATGGGTTTAAGCTGGGGGAGAGGGGAGGAGGGAAGATGGTCTTTTACTTTTCTACTCATGCTCTTTGTTCAAATTAGTACAGAAAATAAACCTTACAGTGACTTCCGTATAAAATCAGCCATTGAAGGGTGTGCCATAGCTTGCTGTAATGATGCATAAAAAGACAGTCTCTGACTAAAGGGCTTCAAAGTCTAAATCAGGTGCACAGAAGAGACTGGGTGTATGTTCTGGGGTCACCCAATGTAAGGACTTTGCAAATAGCATGGCCAAATGGCTTTGGAGGGACCACAACTATATCATCCAGGGTTCAGGGAAAGGTAAGGAGACATAGACATCAAGGGAGGTGGGATTGAAGAGAGATTTATATTCCAGAGAAGCTTTCTAGTTTTCAAGTTGTGGGCACTGTAAACTAGGCAAGAGAAGTGTCTGTATCCAGACAAGACTTGGGAGGTGCCACTCATCCCTGGTGTGCTTGTCTCAGGTGTAGTCCGTGCTTGTCCTGGTCTCTTGCCCAGGGGTAACATTGCTCCCCTTTGTTACTTTGCTAAATGAAGTGCAGATAAATACATGGGAAGATTGCCTTAACTTGTTCTGATTTATTGTGCTTTGGTTTATATGCCTTTTCTTCTGGAATCACTGGTGTCCCTTCATTAACTGTTTCTATTGAGTGCCCACAGATGTTGATTAAATAGAGCTGAGTACATATATCATAACACAGAGAACTTCTCTGTGAAGCCTTTTTAAGAAGTTTTTCTTACCAGGGGAGAAGACAGAAGCATTTCACTTCTTTAAGATAACCAGAGTAATGAATTTGCCTATTTTTAACAGGGCTAACAAATTGACTGCTGTAAAGAATCAGCAATATGTTAGGAATATAAAGGAACAGAGTAGTGCTCTTCCAGGAAATGGATGCATTTCTGATTTTAGTTTCCATTGATGAATATACAATCTTTGCAGGAAAGACCCAACGGAAATGTTTACATTTGTGTGTATATACAAATTATCTTCAGTATTCAGACACTGGAGGAAAAAAATTCTAGCAGCCTTTATTCATGATACACAGTAGTGCTCAGGATTTCATGATGAAATTTTTTTTTCTTTTTTTCCCAAAGCGATAAGAAGATTATAGCTGAAGGTCCTGGTGAAACACTGTTTGCTGCAGAGGAAGAAGCTGCCCGCGTGGCACTGCGGAAGCTATATGGCTATACAGAGAACAGGAGACCTTGGGATTACTCAAAACCCAAACAAGGACTGGCAGCTGAAGAGGCTATCAGCAGTAACTAGATGATAAAAGACATTTCTCATTTCTCTTAAGAATTAATCGTGTCCATGCTGAATATAAATGTATTTAGGAAAGCAAAATTCACTGTCTTCAGTGCTTGAAACTGTCGAATCAACTATGTTATTAAAATAAAGTCTTTTCCTTTTGCACAATGTTTAGTATTTGTTCATTTTCCTAAACAAAAAAGTACCCTTATTCTGAATTTTTGGTTTTGGCTAAATTTTTCTATACATCACAGGAGACTGTTTTTAATGATGTTTAACAATATGTGACAAATTCTCACTGTATCGGAAAAGGTTTTATAAATGCTTCCTTGGAGACTGTTTTGAGGGTATTGTTGATGAGTTGAATTACATATGCAACATTGGTCTGTGGATTGTATCTGCATTCATTTGTCCTTGACTTTGTGAAAACACCAAATGTGATGTTGATGATACTGATGCTGTTGGTGATCCAATTTAAAAAAAAAAAAAAAAAGTCCAAGTGGCACTTTTGAGGTCCTACTGCTTGCATACAAATTGTATTTACCATACACATTGTTTTCTTTTGTTAGAGTGTGCTCCAAAAAGGGTGTATTTTTAATTTTAAAATTTGAAAAAAATATTATGAAACTAGAAATAAATAAAAATAAGGATGAGGAAGGCCTGAACCCAAAGAAATTGGAGAACATCCTTTAATGATAAGCTGTTAGGCAAGCTACAAAAAAAGCCTTTCTCCCCCCCCCCCCC